GAGACTTATTACTTTATTCAGTAGTGCCTTCGTTTAGAGAAATTTCGTACCGTCTTTCTAGATCAGGCTGCTCATGTGGTAATGTCTATATCGGAGAGACTTACTGACCCATCCAGAAGCGAGTTTGCGAACATAAAACCGCTTGTAACTATCTATGGGTCCAAAAATCTGGGCTCGTTGAACTTATTGCCAATACAGGAAACTTAATAGCAGTCCAAAGCACAGCGTTTTGTGGATTAACTGGACTTTACCTCAAAGCGCAGGATTAGAGAGTCTATAGAAATTAATAAAACAGTCTAAATAGGAAGAAGGGGTGTAGGAAACTGAGGAAGAAATATTTGTGGCTGTTGGATAGGTTTAAGGAAAGGGAGAGAGAAGGAGAACTAGAAGAGTCACTTAACAAGAGTAGGCTGGATTATCCTCGAGTCTAGCTAGGACTATCACACATCCCATGACATGCACACAATATACAATAGCATAAGCCCAAACATAAATCAACCTTAGAGGATCGCATACTAGTTTATTTGTGTAAGGAAACAGTTGCCAGCGCATGCCCTGTCGGTTCGTGAAGTAACTTCATTCATCTGCAAAAATGTAGAGTAAGTTTGAGGTAGCCAACTAAATCATGAGTGCCTAATTAATATCGCAAGGTAAAGTGCATACAAAAATCGACTAGGGTTGCAGCCAACAACCTTTTCTTTGGGTTGCCCTATTTTGTAAATTATGCTGATGTCTATCAAAATACATACCAAAGCTTAGTACAGATTAAACGTGCTCAAAGGACGGTGAGCCGAGGACTTTTTCGCACAATACAAGTCTTCCCTATGTGGCAGTCCTCATTGGGTTTCCGGTGAGATCATATCACCAATTACTTTCAACCAACTTTTCCTTCGAAATTAAAGGTCATGTCACAAGATACCGCTAAGAAATTCTTCGAAACCCAGTTTTTCGACATATCTTCGGAGTAGAATAAATGTCCGAGTAAAGTATAAAGCGAAAGTATTATCAAGTTTTTCAATACTGGGAAGATGAAGAGAATCTATTTAAAAAATTCACTGATAGATCTAATTTTAGATTTACAGAGAGAATCTGGAGAATTAAGCAGTCTATTCGTCAGGTAAGAAGGATTCGCATCCAGATTCACGATTTGTATCATGCACAGCAGTTTAAATATAGGATCTACATGCCCATATGATATTAGCCAAATAAACATTTGAAAAATGAAGAAATTAACCACATTTTATCAGCTTGGAGGACAGGAACTAAAGATAAACCACAAAGGCAGAATATGGCCTAAACTGAACTCAAGAAGTAGAGTTCGTGAACGAGCAAGCTTAGCTAATGCACTAGAACGAATTTGTATTAAATAAAGTAGGCGGTGAGCACATTTATCCATACTGTTCAGGGACATTAAAATTTAACGGAAAGTTTGGGCGGAATATATTCATGAAAAAGCCTTGGATATATAGCAGATGAGCAGATTTTAAAAATGGCTGACTTTTTATCATAAATATTCACCTTAGTTTGATTGTGATGAATAAAGTTACTCACGAAGTATATGATGGCGTCGTCCAAACTACTAGCAAGAGAATTTCGACGTGAGAATTTTGAATATGAACTGGAAACGGCACGGCTTATCTCGTTAGTCTCATCTGCCCTGTGAACCACTGGTGCTCAGGGCTGTGTAGCTGCTTGATGCACACTAGTTGGTTTGGAATCCCTTTGTGCTGGTGGTGAGACCCAGACGAGGTCAAGGTCGCAAATGAGTCAGAATGAGAAAACCCTTAGGGTCGTAAGGCCAAGTGAAACTCTGTGGTATCGTGAGTCTTTGACCTTACTATATTGTGTGAATAGCAATACCAAGCGTTCCACCAGTTTAAGTGACCTAAGTTGATTCTAGCTCTTACAAAAGATTCAGATATACTTACTACAATCCCTCGATGCTATTAATGAACTGGATGACTGAATGATGTATGAGTATGCAAAGTGTAACGACACAAGGGAGTGCATTTGTAATATAGGTTGTTTAGAATGGAGATTTCGAGGGATAGACTAAAGGGAAATAATAAATAGAGTAAGATAAATCGAGAAGAAGGACAAGGCCATGATAAAGCTATGCCATTCTGTGGAGGAAAGGAAAAGCCATAGTTAGATG